GGTTGCTCACTCATTCCTGTGGGGTAGAAGCCTTAAAAATGTTATTTAAAAGTGGGATCCCAATCTTGGTAGATGTATACCTTTCCCCCAATACATTATTAACTATAATTTTCAGAGCTAGAATTAATGGAGTTCTAGGAGAGGAAATGTTTCTGAGACATACTCAGGCTTTTCAGTAACCCACAAGTTAAAAAAAATGTTAGTGTTTTATTGTCAGAGATCCAGTCCCTAGTCAAAGTCATTCACACTTTCTTCCTAGATCATCTTATTTATATGACCAAAGAGATCATGTGTTTTTGTATGCAAACTTTTGAAGCCGTCCCTGCTCTAAAGACTTGAAGGTCTCATTTGAAATAAGGTGCAACCAGTGAGTGTATTACATGCTTAGGGCGAAGGTGTGAAGGAATACAAAGAGTATTCATTGTTACAGTATCTTGGTTCATTATTACATAACTTTATGCTTACAAATAAGTTGACTTAAATACATTTTTTAAAAATACTGTATCCACAACTGTGTACCCCAGTTCTACAAAGTGTAACTGGCAGTGGCTGACTAATTTTTGTCAGCATCATGGCATAAATGAACATTAGTGTAGGAGGGGTTATAGCCATTACACATTAGGTCAGTGTAGTGATTCTATGGGTAAGAGACAGAATGAGCTAAAACATGGTGAACTTTGTGGGAGAAGAAATATAGACATTCTTCACCAGCAGTGCAAGCCTTGAATGATTTGAGAAGAGACTAGATGAGAGAATTGGAGAGAAATAGAGTTTTGAAGGGCCTTATCAGATGTGGACAGGAAACTAAGATTTAATGTGGTCAGAAAAGAGAAAACAGGGATGGCTTCTCCCCAGGGACAGAGAAGGCATACCCAAAGAAGAATTACAACTCCAAAAAGTGCCAGTCTCCATGAATTCCAAGAATTGGTAATCTGTTATTGTTTTTTCATTTGGAATGTACTAAAATACCACAGTTACGAGTGGCAGCGTAAAACCCTAAACTAGATTATATTTAAAAACAATGTATTTAGAAACAATATATTACTTACTATGCAAATAAAAGAGGGAATCCTTTCATTCCTATTGTTATTCTTCTGGTATGTCCACGATGATCTTTTTACATTGTAGCATACTGTCCTCTATTCCAATGGATTTCAATACTAAGAAGTTACGTGATATTACTTAGTATGTAATATCACCTACTTTTTATTGTGACTTTTCTGCATTTGTCATCGTTTAAGCAGTTAGTAGTTACTTTCTTTTTTATTTTTTTTTAAGTGTGGAGTTGCCCACCCTGGAGAGAGACTGATTTCTTCAGGGCATATGAAGTTAGATCAAAGGAAGACAGAATTTTTGTTGGTTTTCATGTAGGAATTAAAAAAAAAATGAATCTTTTCCCAGCTGCTTTACACAAAAATAAAAATGGTTAACTCTTTAGAAGTAGGAACTGTAATAATTGCTGGGTTCAGTAAACACAGGGATACATGAATGGGCTAATACCCATGTAGTAGGGTGATGAGCATACTGTAAATAAGGGAGTGGAATAGAGCCAGGAGGGGCCTCGGTGGTATTTGGCAGTGGGGGGCTTTGTCCATACCATGCTGCACCATGTGGCAGGGAGAAGCAGTGGATGAGTCCTAGTGCTGGCCCACCATGGACCCAAGCTGGGTCATTCTGGTTTACTGCTGGAAAAGCATTACTGACTCCTGTTATAAGTGAATAGATGAATAGAATGACTCCCAGAAATAATAATCAAAGCAGCTTGGGAAAAGTGGGATCACCACAACTGTCTGTTTCCAGTCCTGGGGAGTTAGGCCTGCCATTCTAGGGGATGCAGTGTTAGGAATATGCTAGTTGCTAGGTTAGGCTTTACTATCTGTTTAGTCTGCTAGCTTACATCTAGCAATGGACTAGTACCAGATGTCTCAGAGGCAGGTGCAAAAGCTGTTATAGAACATCCTGTTCATAGCTAAGGCTTCTTCTCTCTCTCATTTTTTGGATGTTCCTGTGTCATGAAATATGAGGGTTTACAACACTTCCAGAAGTCAAGGGATTTTTTCTTATTTTTGCTCCTTCTTCTGACAACATTATTACCCTTTGAATATCAGATATTGAGGGCTTTGCAGACTTCCTTCAACGGTGATGGAGGAATCTTGGTAAGTTACTTGAAATAAAAAAATTATCTCCACATAAAATCAGAAATCAAACAAGGAGCAAACCTCAGGCTGCCATAGGTTCTCTCAAATGATTGTTGCATAACAAAACTGACAACAGTTTATATCTTCAAACATTAAAAACTTTTTCATATGGTAAGGGGAAAATTATTAGACTATGTACAACAGTGCTGTTGTGCAACATTACTGTCTGACTCTTGCTAACATTTTACTTGTTTGACTTTGTTCTTGTTATCCTTATAAATATTCAACCATAGTTTTGATTCTTGTTAAGCTCCTACCCTCATTTGTACAGTTGAGTTCCCAAATGTTTGTCACTATAAATGGTTTTATAATTAGCTAGGAGTCTAAAAAGTTATGGGGAAAGTATGTGCTAGGAATAGGAAACATCTCTTATCACTGAATGCAAGGATTGACATTGGTCACTCTTGTGCCTCTTCTATTTGCTTTTCCCAAAGATTCATTTGGTTAACTATTTCACACATTTAAGAAAGAAGAGTTTTAAATTTTCCTCCTCAACTGTTCTCAGAAAAAAATAATTCTGTATTTTTAAACACACTTAGAAGATTGTTACACATTGCACTTTGAGCTGCTTGCATGTTGATCAGTGTTAGTGCTAGCTTGAGTTTGCAGTAGTGATACCTTGAGCCTAAAATCCTTCTCTGACTGTCCCGTCTGTGACTTGCCACTAGACGGCTAGCAACCAGGGGCTTGACTAGGAGCTACAGCTGACAATTGCCACTACAGAGATGGTGAGCTAGGACAGTCTTCTATCTCTGCTCTGGGAGGGTGTGTGAGAGAGATGGGTTGGGGCAGGGGGATGGAAACATGAAGCGGGGAGGCAGAGAGTTAATGGGATGGGGATGGGTAAGGAAGGCTTACCCAATGGGAGGTGGAAAGGAAATGGGGGTAGGTGAATGTTAGAGAAATGAAGGAAGGCAACCAAAGAAGCATAAAATAAAAATAAGTTAAAAAAATTGAAAAGAAACAAAGAGGAAGCAAATTAAAGATGACCTCATGCTTTAATAAATTGGGATTTGGGACTGGGGTGGCAGGGGTGGGTTCTGTTAATACTTTCTAGGATGTTTGGGAGGTGGGAGCAGTAAGGGAAGGCACTTTTTGGGGAGCTACTGCCCCTGTCCCTAGAAGAAAGCCTCTGCTCATGAGAACTCAATCCGGACCCCTACCTTGTTCCCTCATACCCGCCTAGACCCAACTTCTGTTTGCATAAGAAGTTCTTGTTAACATCAACTAAATGGTGAATAGATATGATGCCATATAGATTAGCTGATCAATTTTGAGTGACACAACTTGGTGACAGTACAATATAAGCCACTTAGGATGTCCATGGATAATTTAGGCAGGCATTTAAATCATGCAAATAGCACAAACCATTTACCAGCCTCTATTGATTTCTATATTTAAAGGCACTGTTTAAACCTACTCAAGCATGCCTGCTAGTTCATGGAAGAATAGTATGGTTTAGCTGTTCACACCTCATTGGGGGTTGTTTCTTTGTTATTCAGAGTGCTAGTAGACACCATTCATCAACCGAGCCACTTGCCATGTGTGTTTACTGTATATCTGAATAATGGTTGAAGCAGAAGATACGTTTCAGGATAAAAGGAAAGTACTCAGTCTCTTGGTTTGCTGGATTGGCCAAACAGAATATTTGGGCATGTCCTGGCTACTGTAGTGTACAATTTTCTTATAAAAAATTCAGAGCACTTCTCTGCCTAGTTGAGTACACTGTTTCCAAGAGTAGTCAGAACTAAGGGCATCCAAAGAGGATGCAAGGTGAAATACTGAATACTCACAGAGAAACATTTATGATCAACCTGTACATTTTGAAAAAGAAATATAAAGAAAAAAAAGAATTCTGAGTTACTAAAATATTCCAGAAAATCATGATCATTTATGTTCATCATGGGGGCACAGAAGGGAATTGGTGAGGTTTTATTCACCAAGGCGCCCCCGGGGGTTACAAGAAATAATGGCCACAAGCTAGCAGAGAGCAGATTTAGACTAGACATTAGGAAGAACTTCTTCACAGTTCGAGTGGCCAAGGTCTGGAACAGACTCCCAAGGGAGGTGGTGCTCTCCCCTACGCTGGGGGTCTTCAAGAGGAGGTTGGATATCCATCTAGCTGGGGTCGTCTAGGCCCAGCACTCTTTCTTGCCTATGCAGGGGGTCGGACTTGATGATCTATTGAGGTCCCTTCCGACCCTAACATCTATGAATCTATGACTTTTTTTTAAACTTCTTAACAATAAAGTGCCCGAATATGTGAGATCGTAGATTTGCTGTGGATTGTTTTCTTAGCTCTCCTGACAAATGTCTAACTGGAACATTTTATTTTTTCCTTAAAGTCATCTTTCTTTGTTTCATGGGTTAACAAAGTATTTGGTAAAAATGCTAACATATGTATCCTACACACATTTTTACTTTGCCACTCAGGAAATGTAGTAAGCACTTTGAGAAATTTAATGTTTATGTTATGAGCAGACTAATTAATGGGTTATTCATTAACTCTTATTTCTTCATGAAATGATTTGTTTTTTGCAGTTACTTATACAAGAATGAAATCCACACAATAGACCAACAAGCATTTAAAGGACTGCTATCACTCGAGCAACTGTAAGTAATGCAACATTAGTGACTGAAAATTCAATGACATAATTCCCTAGTTTTACTGGAGAGAGATAAATTGAGCTTCAATTCTCTAACCAGAGTCAATTAGATTATTTGGGGAAACTATGGAACACTTTCTTTAATTGTTGCTTTGCATGGTAGAAGATATGCAGCAGGACTAACTTCTATAACATTCACTGTGATTAAATCTGAAAGGATTATAAACATGTGAAACAGATAAAATATCCTGCCTTGTAAATATAACCATTGTTCTTTCATAGACACAGTCTGCCAAATATTATTTTGTGAAATATGAATCACCAAATGTGTGTGTCGGGGGGTGGGCAATTTAAATTCAATGGTACAAGATCCACTAAGAATGCTGGTCTGAATTTGAAGCAGCTACTGGTAAATATTTACTTTGAAATGTGAAATGTGCAAAGTGTTTTTCAAGGTAATTATGGCTTTAGGGTTATTTTTATTGAATCAAAAATATATTGTGTTTGTTTTGGGCAAGAACAAGCAGAATATTACTTAATTCTGCCTCTAAAAGCTGTTGTAACACATTAATACATTAATTAATCCCTGAATATTATGTTCTAAATTTATTGTTCTTTCTTAGTACTCATTTACTTGCATCACTCAGATGTAAACAGATGTAGTATACAGCCACTTTTGCTGGCCCCTATGCACCCCCCCCACAAGCAGATGAAGTATAATAGTTTCCTAATTTTAATGTAGATGGCACACAAGACAAGCTGGTACAAGGAAGTATAGTATTTTACTTTCACATGGCAACTTAACAGAATCCTACAAGAGGTGGGTCACTTCATGGGTTATTGTATTCTTTGTTTTTTTGAACATGAATGTGTCATGAAGGCTTTGAAAAACTGCATGTTGCCATTTGGCTAAATCTTATTTGGCAGCTTAATTTTGCTTTTCTGTTTTTCAACTCCGTTAAATAAAATAACTATAAGAAATAGAAGAATGCTCTTCTTTTACAAGACATTGTTCTAATAGTAAAATGAATAACTTAATGCAAGGCTGTCCAATTTGTACACTTAAGTTATGGCCCCTGGGCTCCCTCCCAGTCACTACTCCCCCCGTTTCTTTGGCCGTAACAGCAGCTGCAGTATCTGGGCTTCTCCTCCCTGCCTTTGGGGGTGGGGTAGTGCAGGGAAGCAAAATGAGGGAAGCAGAGGGTAAAGCCAGGGCTATGTGGATACATGGTGCCACAGGAGGAGGACATGGAAGCATACATTCAGGTACATAGTACAGTGGCAGTGCAGACCTCAGGATGTACAGCACTCACTGGTATGGCCCACAGGGCATGTGGCCCCTGGGCACTTACAAGTTGGACAATCTTGACCTATTGCATGTGTTGGGGTGGTCTCTGACTGCCACTGGAATATTGTATTTGACATTACATTGTCTTGTTGTTCTGCTAGGAATCATGGTGTTGATAGTTATCATCCAAATGGCCATAAATTGATAGATTATAGAACTCATCCATTCAATTCAAAGTGCTTTACAAAAGTGGATCCTCATCATTTTACAATTGGGAGATTGATCCACAGTGAAATGGATTGACGGTTGTTACACAAAAGAAAAACAATGGTCAGACTGGAGATAGATATTAGACTTATGCAGGAAGTGCCATGTGGTTTCTTTCTTTTAAATTGTTTTGAGCAGAATGGGTATATAGCAGTGCAGAAAAGGAAGCTTCTGTTTTGCCGAAGATTTCAAGATTTTAACATTTGTCTTTGTTCCAAATTGCAGCGACCTGTCCTCCACCAGATTTCTGATTTCTGTTAAAGGAAATCCCTACCCCAAATTGTACTTGGTTAACCAAAATATTTTAACACAAACCTTCTGTTTCAATTCCCACTTCATACAATATATTTTGCTATATAATACAAACTCAAAACTATTTTGAATTGAAATTTATTTTAAAGGAAAAAATGAAAAAAAATCTTTCTGATAAATGGGACTTTTTGGCATAAAGCTTGTTGTTTTACCATCAGGCTTTGAAGTAGAATCATAGGGCTGGAAGGGACCCCGAAGGATCATCGAGTCCAGCCCCCTGCATGAGCAGGAAAGACATCTGGCGTCAGATGATCCCAGCCAGGTGACCATGTATGGGGATATGTTTTTAAAAAATAAGCCTTAGTTTCTGATAGAAGATAACCCAACCACTTCAGTAGAATTATGTCCATTTTGGCTGGATCCAGACATGCAGTCATGTGCATTTCCCTGGGGACAAACAGCAGCGGAACAATATGTGCCACTGCTACTTGTTCCTAAGGAATGCCCTTGCACACGCGCATTGGTTTCACATTGCCCTGGGCACAGTAGGGAAGGCTGGGGCCAGCACCTGGCCTTACCTGAGGCCCTGGGGGCCTTCTGGGCCTCCAGTGGCAGTGGTCCAGCAGCAGGTAGCTTGGCTTGTAGGTGGTGTGTGGCTTTGGCTGGCCAGGCTCTGGTTTTGGGCAGTGCACATTGGTGCCACGTGTGCCATCCTGCTTTTTTCCACTGCTGGGTTTTTGGGTTTTTTTTACTGCAGACGTCCAGTTGGACAGCCTTGGTTTAGGTTAGTCTTGGATTGAAAAAATACATAGTAGTAGTAGTAATAAAGAGAATACGTTAGCTCAGCATTTTGAATAAATAGATTACTCCTAAGAAGGAGATTCAGCATTTTGAGTAAAGAACTCTGTTGACAGCACTGGCCACTGGCACATTTCATTTGAAGTTTTGATATCATCAAAGCATGAAAACCATACTTTTATTGTTACATCTTTTACTCCATGCCCCTCCTCACAGCTATCTTAATCCTTTTTGAAGCAGGACTAGTACTGCAGGGCATAATTTACTCAGTAACATCTCTAGACATTGTCATTAAAGGCCATCTGATATCTCCTGAAAAAATGCACACTAGTAGCACAGGTACTTTTTTTTTTTTTAAATGAGTCATAGCTGTGTCTTCTGCCCTTCCTCTGTCCTTTTTACTGATGTAGATTTACCTTAGACAGGCGAAACAATGACCTATCAAAATGTACATTTACTATAAAGTTTAAAGAAGACTGGGAAACGTAAAAACTGTGACAGATTTATGTGTTGACCTTTGAGAGAGAGAGCAAGAAAAAAACTATTGGGATAATACAAACTACCACACACTCCTCTCCACCATACTCGTGTGGCTGCTGCTGATCTGTTTTAGATCCCAAGAGAGCAATGAGAACATTTATTTCTAGGAGCATATATAATGTGAACTAATGAAGAGACATTATCTGCTGTAGTGAAGTTGGAAACTTCTTTTGGTTTTCCCTGTTTTATCCATGATAGTAGGGGACAAACTGTGGCAAGGTACACATATTCAAAAACCCTGAGGTGGAATCAAACTAAGTTAAGCAGTTTTCTGTAAGCAGCATAGTTTATACTGGTAGCAAACAGAACACGCATTCACCCTTGGGGTGGGGATGGGGTCTGGGGGCAAGTCTTAGTCTGGGTTCTGCCATTTTTAAACCAGTGTGTGTGCTGAACTTCTGATTTGTTATGGGTATAGACTGATTTCCACTTGCTTATACCAGTAAAAGTGTAATGTCTGTACATGGCCTATGGGTATAGTCATTTCAGCACTAGTTAGAGGATGCAAGAAGGCAAAATACAAAGGAATGTATAGTGAATTAATCTTTAGAAACACGTGAATAAAAAACATAAGGCTTTTCAAGGCATATACTACAAAGGCAAAGCTTACTCTTGGTAAAGGAAGAGCTATGTTATAAAATATTACCATAGAAAAATATTTCTTCTTCTCTTTTTCTTTAAATTATAGGGTGGGGAATAAGCTGAACCCAGTAGCGGTTTAGTTGTGAAATGTCATGCATTTATCAAAGGTCTGTAATTAGATTTGTTTAATTTTCTGCTCTTAGTCCATCTCTAGCTGCCTTGCATAATAATTATGAACCCTTTCCAACATATATTTATATAAATCTATTTAAATCCTGGTGATTTTATGACAGTGGAAAAAATGGGATGGAATTTTTTTTGCCGATCAAAAAGAATTCCTTGTCCAGCTTGTATGAGTGAATAACATTTTGCAAGTATATTTTTAGGTTTTAAAAGTTCCTTTCTTCAGCTTCACATTTCAGAGACATATTAAATATTTCATGTCTAATACTACTTTCCATTCAAAATACAATATGTAAACTAAGTACATTTTAATTAACTTTAACCAAAACTGAAAATGGATAAAAGACAATCAAATGAAAAAAAACAACTTTGACATATGCCAGTATGTCAGTAGTTGAATCTAATTCCTAGATTCAGTTTTCTTAAAGTTAAAAATATGTTGTCAACCTATTAAGAAGAGACTACAGCTGATTTTTTTAAAAAAACATTGTATTTTGCTTTATCTAGCAGTCTGGAAGCCTATCAACTGTCCTCCCCACCCCGTATCATGAACAAACTGTTTTGAAATATTTTTGAAACAACTCCAATTTGACCAATTATTTACGAAGAAATTACTTCATTTGCAGTACTAGTGGTACAGGACACCAACTGAAGAGACTGTAAATAATACATAATAATTAGTTAGTACTGGCTTTCAGCCTTGTGACACCCCTAACAGGTTCTAGGGCACCTCAGTTGAGAACCACTACTAGAGAGGGGGCACAAAGTTTCACTTTTCTTTCTCTGTGTACTTCTGCTAATTGTGACAACAGGCTGACCTCTTGGCCAGGCTGGAGTTACATTTTCTCAGTAAACAGTGAGGCCCTGAATCCACCTTATGTCCTGGAGAAGTTGGCAATGCTGCTAGTATGCTGAAGAAGGGATAAGAATGATTGGTACCCATGGGATGTTACAGGTGAGAACTTAGTATCTTGGATTTCAGGACTCCAGAAAGTCCTGAAAGTTCAGATAGTTCATGTAAAATATCTGGGACTGTTTTCCCAACTAAATTTGCTATTATAATACCTAACTTGCAGGTGAAAGAGCTTAATTAATAT